TGGGCGATATTGCTCCCCAGGGGGCGATTTCGTTTTCAGGGGGGTGATGGAATGAAAAGGGGTGACGCGGGGGCGAAGGAACAAAAAGGGGGCGATATGGGGGTGATGGAGTGAGATATTTTGGGGACACTTTTGAGCCTTCCCCTGCAGCTCTGAGCCTCCTCCACCATTTGCAGAGAGAGACAGAGACAGAGAAAGGCACTTGTGCTCCTCTCTCTCCCTCTCTCTCTCTCTCTCTCTCTCTCGGATTTGCCCCCTCGCAGGGCTGCTGATTGGCCCTGCGCCAAGGTGCCCCGCCCCCTGGGAGAAGCGCAGCCAGGAAGTCCCTTTCCCTGGCTGGCCCCGTCCGAGGTGCACATGGCTGGGGAACTGTGCGGGGAAGCCCCGGGATCCCCGCTGGGAACAGCCTGCCAGAGCCTTAGCTTCCCGCAAGCTGTGGCCCTGAGGGAGAGCAACCTCTGCAATCCCTAGCCATGGGACTGTTGGCCCAGCTGGTCAGGAAGGCACGCTGGAGTCCCGGCTGCTTTGTTGGTGAAGAATGTGAGGTGAGCAGAAGATGGGGGGAGAGAAAGGGAGGGGGGAGGCATTTTCCAACCAGCAGCAGAAGAGCCCCGGCCGGACCTGCGGGAGTGCCTCCTGGGGCCCAGTGCCGACTTCCTTGCTCTCTTCCTCCTCCCCTTCTCCTGCTGCCCCCCGGATGGCAGTCTTGGCTGGGGCGGCGGCTGGCGGGGGCATCGCTCCCAGGGCAATGCTGGTGGGTCATGGATTGCTGGGAGCGCCGCACGGTGCAGTGTGGCCCCAGCTCCTCCAGCACAACGGGAGGCTCCAGTGTTGGTCGTGGCGGGAGGCGTATCATTGCTCCGGTTCCGACCGAGGACGCCGGTGGTGCGGAAGAAGGTTTGGCGATGCAGCTGACGGGGGTGCGTTCAGTGGATGCCCCGCGACTTAAGCCCGGGGACGCCGGTGGTGTGAGGGGAGGTTTGGTGATGCAGCCGATGGGCGGGACATTCTGCAGATGCCCCGTGGCCCCGAATTGAGCCCAGGGACACCAGCAGCAGGTGGGACGACCTGCCAATGTGACCGTGAGCCAGGGCCTCCCCGCAGGCCCGGCAGGCAGTGGAGCTGGGTGCCTCCAGCTGCGACAGGGAGTCTTCTGTTGCCTCCTGCCCCCCTCCCTGCCCCTTCGGCACTTTCTGCCTTTCCTTCTCTCTCTCTCTCCTCACCTGGAGAAAGAAGGGGGGAGAGAGGGAGAGGAAAGAGAGAAAGAGAGAGGGAGAAGGGAAAGAGAAAAAGAGAGAGAGAGGAAAGAGAGAGAGAGGAAGAGCAAGTGCCTCTCTCTCTCTCTCTCTTTCTCTCTCTCTCTCTCTCTCTCACACACACACACACACACACACACTGAGTGGAGGAAGAGGACTGGCAGACCAAGGGCAGAAAGAGGAAGAGAGGGGGGGGGAGAGAGACACTTTTGATATCTAAAATGAAGATAACACTGAAGATATATATATAATAAAGGTAAAAAAGGATATATGCAGTGTTATCTTCATTTTAGATGTCAAAAGGGTTTTGCGGCTCCCAGTGTTTTGTTTTCAGTGGTCATTACATTTAAGTGTCTTGAATAAATAAGATAATAATGAAATACATGTATCATGAAGTTTGGGAATAAAGTGACGGGTGACACCAAAATTTTTCACACAGTTGAGATATGGGAAAAAGACTGGAAATAAATTATTTGCATCCTATGTCCTGATGACAATTTTAAAGAAAACAAAAAAAGGGTTTGCATAAATTGAAGAATTATTTCCTATGTTGTGATTGAGAGGTTATGTTGGGGGAGGGGGGCGATGACAACTTCCTCATTGGCTCAAGGGGGAGATTTGTTCAAAAAGATTAAGAACCACTGTTCTAGCTAATGAGAGTACTTAGAACTTCTTAAGTTTCTGCTCTGTTACTTTAAAAAAAAAAGTCTGTGTCTTCATAATGTACCCATTATTTTGTTCCATACCATACATGAGGCAGATAAAAATAGTCCTGAACTGTTCCCAGTAAAAAGGCAGATGGGGAGACCAACCTACCAATGCTTATCAGCTAGATTCCAGCCCCCCCCCCAACAAACAACTGAGGGGAGAAGAATGTGATTATGCAGTGTGAATCAGAGCCCTTCTTCCTGATTTACCTTGCATACCGCCCTATAGAACATTGATAGTCTCTTATTACCATGCATCAGCCACAAGCACAGCACCTGATTTGCTTCTTTTTAAGTTTCTGCTGTTACTTTAAAAAAAATGACTTGAAATTACAGTTTGAAGCTGGTTCCCATTTCTGGTTAGTTTGCTACAATATTGAAAATACAGGATCACATCTGAGGTTACAATCACATTAAGCCATTAGGTGATTTATTTCTTTGGCATGAAGCATGAATCTAGCAACTGTGGTTTATAGATAGATCATGGTTTATTGCTTCAGATTTAATTAAATTGTTTTACATTATGTATGTCTTTGCATAACTACAGAGAAATTCTCATTAAGCTCAGTGGAATTTGCTGTTAAATAAAACTACACAGCTGCAATTTGAGTTCCTGTTGGCATAAAAGAAAACACTTCTACTTATATACTTTTGGGGCTTGCAGATTTTCCTTTATTGCTGCAACTTCATGCTTGGATGAAAGTGCAAGGACCACTATAGAAAGTGTCAGGCGAAGGGAATGGGAATGATGAAACCATCCATGCATCAGAAAAGAACTTCCATTTATAGAAACAGATTTTTGGATCCAAGCTTTTAAAACCTTCTAGAAGTGTTTAAATCCAGAAAATGTAGGGCAAACTACCAAGATATATAAGGAAAAGACTCGAACCCTTCAGATCTTTACCTTTCAATATTGAAGACAAAACTTCAAAATCTGTCCTAAATTTGACCATAAAACAAATTAACTCTTTTAATGCATTTGTATGCATTCATATTTCTTCAGATGAAGGTCAAGGCTGTTTCCTCACTTGTCATTAATACAGAGAGAATAAAAAAGATCAAATCACAAAACAAATATATGAAATAAGAGTGAATAAGTTGAGAAGTCATATTAGATGGTATTGATCTGAATACTACTGAAAGAAAAATCTTCATCAGGGTCCAGTCCAAGCCGGGAATAAACAAAATGGAAGACTGCTTTAGAAAGAAGATTCTAGTTTATTGAAGAACAGAACCATAACAGCATGTGGCTCTGGAGCAGCTGAACGCCTGGTGATGGGAGTGGTGGGTTTTTATACATTCTTGGGCTTTTGTGTTTGGAGTTGTTCCTGTTCCTGTGGCATGAACTTTAACCTGATCTTTTGAGCGTGTCCTTTCATATTGTGATGGTAGTGGGTTAATCCGATTATGTCCTAAAGGTCATGTCCTGCTTCCCTGGGGCTGGGGCTGATGCTATGTCCTGTGTTGGATGGGTGAGGAGTTGCTGGTTCTAGGGATCTTTGTCTTTCTAATCCCATCAACTCCAAGCTTCCTGGCTCCAGTCTTTCTGAAAGGATTATCAAATCTGCATATCTACAGAGCTGGCTTATTCAGTTTCTGCTTGGGGCTATTAAAAAAAACTGGGCCTGCTTTTCTGCCTTTAAGATAATTGGGAAAATATAATATTCTGCCCTTTTAATATCCCCCCAAATATTTCCTTCTCTGCGGGGGGGGGGGCTGACTTCCCACAATACCATCAAGTTTAAACACAATGAAGTTATAAACCAGTACTATATTTTGATGTGAGGGAAGGAAGGGTGGCTGACAAAGACAGCAAAGTGAGAAACAGTGAACAGATTAGTGTAAAATAAATTTAGATGCATTTTCTCATTTCTTGTCTTTTATTTCTTTGGCTTATTTTCTCTGATTTTATATTAGGGCTTACTCTGAAAGAGCCTAGTGGTTAAGGCACCAGACTAGAAAGCCAAAGACCGGGATTTCTTAGCCATGAAAGCTGGGTGACCTTGGGCCAATCACTCTCTCAATCCAACTCACCTCACAGAGTTATGGGAAAATAGGAGGGTATGTTTGCCATCTTGAGTTATTTGTAAAGATAATAAAGGTGGGATATAAATAAATAAAAAGAGGGAAAGAGACCGGCTTTATGGGTATGTCTATTTGTATTGGAGAAAAAAAGCTGTGCATCACCTTTAAACAGCTCAAGACCTCAATTAACATTAGGCAGGACCATGCAAGTGGGATAGGATTAAATCACACAGATAGGTGGCCTGATTTTTGTTTTTCATAGTTTTTGTGAGGACTTGCTTGCTTTAGGTCTACCATGTTTATCATTTTTTCCCATCTTAAAAGTTTTCAGAATGATACTGTTGGTTTTCATTGGATGGACACTGGGGCTGCAAAAACAGGTTTGGAAGCCTGTTTGGGATCTTAAGGCCTCAGATCTCCTAGAGCTGAATTACTCTGAATTCCAGTGCTATCAAGTCCTGGAGGTATAGTAGAACTTAATGCAGATCCAGAGTTTGCAGTCTGAACCTCCTTGGAGAAATGAATTATGAAATTTCATATTGTAAAGAGTTAAATTGGATATAGTTCTATCATTCATAATTCAGTGTAAGTAGAATGTGAAACACATCACTCTGAGTGAGTCTTTTTATGCATACATAATAAATGTATATAAATTTATACTGAAAATGTCATTTTTTTCACTTCAGTCTGGTCCCTCCCAACCCATCTGGACTCTTAGCAGCTGTCTGGGCAAGTCTCTAGAGTTTGGGGCTCATACTATATGGTTGGAAATATCCAGCAGGTACTTTCTAAACTAAAGAAGTGATGGCTAGATTCAGTTTATGATGGAAGTCTTCGTCGTTCCAATCTTAGATAACTGGGAAGCAATGTTTTGCAAGAAAATACTCTGCACATATTCATTTTTTTCATGCAAGTTTACTTCTGGTATTGTTGGTAGGGGCGGAGTCCTTACATCCGTAGCCTTTCGACACTTTTAATTGTTCCTGCTAGACTAAGGCAAGTCCTGTTAGAAGCCAGGCCCTCTTGAAGCGGATGTCAACAATGCCCGCGGCCTATTTTTCCTTAGACTTTAACCTGGGCTCCCGCTTCCGCACCTGCTGCGCACCTTCCCGCCGTGGGGTTGGAGGGGCTAGTAGATGATCGGGTGGCTTTTCCGCCTCCCCGGCTGACGTGGACGCCAACGGGAATCCGCCCTTTAACAGGCGCGGGCGTCTTGCGCGCGGCGAAGCGAAAGGCGAGAGCGGCGCGGCGCTGTGGGGCGTGTTGGCGGGCGGCTCCCAGGCTGGGAGGCTGCAGTTGGTGCCTCGACGTTGCCGCTCTCCGTTCTGGGCGCCACTGAGGGAAGAAGAGTCCGCGAGAGGCCGACGGGGATGGCTGCGGAGACGAACCCCGGCAGCCAGCAAGGTAAGGCGAGAGGGGTGGTTTTTTTTTTTTCTGGTCGCGGTTCCCTTCCGTTCAAACCCGCCTGCCCTTGTCTTGGGGCTCCGGCGGCGGGCGAGCAGCTGTGCACATTGAAAAGCTTTGGGTAGCGACCCCGCGTTACACTTGGGGATGGGCTTGCCTCGGCGGAAGGAAGCTCAGCTCCCGCTATGGAGCTCGAAAGCCACCGCCGCCGCCCGCTCTCTCCCCTCTGCGACCCCAGTCTTTGGCTCCGAACTGCGTTTTCGAGCGAGAGGCGTGGCGCGCGTTGGGCGCCTCTTTCGCCAGAGGCCCTTAGCTGGTCCGCCCTTGCCCGCAGCGGGGCGAAGCCGTTGTGATTGAAGCCCGAAGAACAGAGCACACACGGCAGCCGCTCGGGACGGTGGAGTTTTGGCGAGCACCCAGAGCGACCAGCGGCGGTGTTTGCTTTAGAGACTCTCTGTGCTCCCGCACCTCCTCTCCCTCTTGCCGTGGTGCTTGTTGCACCCAGGAAGTGGGAATTGCCTGGTTCTTACCAGGTGCCACTAGAACGTGGACTCACCGGTGTTGTTTAGGCGGGGAGCGATTTCCAAAACTTGGAGACGCTCCCCTACAAAAAAAAAATAAAAACACCCGAATTTAGAAATTAAATGGAAAGCTTTGAGGGGCAGAACAGGAACAGCTGTCTTCTTTCTTGCTACATGGTGAGGACATTCGATTTGTTTGCCAGAGGTGTGGCTACCGCCCTACAAACGTGGTCATCAGGCCAGGACTTAGTACAATACACTTTTCCTCCTATGGTAGTTATCAGGGTATCTTTTCTGAGACATCTTCAGCTTTTGGTAACATAACAGCATATGGAAGTAGCACTGAAACCTTCAACTTTAGTATAACATTTCTTCCACCCTTTGTGTCTGGTGTTACATGTACAGTATTGCTTTTTGGAAGTGCAAAGTTAGGTAAGACTTACTCTGATACTATGGATTGGTTTTACCATTGCTTCTGCCAAATTTCAGATTGCAGCAGATGAAGTCCTTGAATCCCTTGATAGTGGGCCCAAAGACGAGCATGAGCAACTTGCAAGAAGCTGAGATTGCTATTGCTTCTGTCCTTTTCTCTCATCTGAACTGATCTTGGAAAACTTGCCAGTCAGCTGATTAACAGTCTGGTTTAGACTGAATTTGGGTGGGGAAACTCACAGTCTTACTTTTTTCTTCCCAAAGAGAGTGCTGCTTGTGTGAATGAAAATCTAATAAAATTAGACAGCTGTACTTGCTACTAAAGCAGCTCCAGGAGCAGTTTACTACATGAAAATAAACAATGCTTTTACTCTGTAGGATCTTTTTTAAAAGGAAGAGAATCTAGGAATGCTTAGAACCGGGACACCATACGAGTTCCAGCCGGCACATTGCTAGGTATATGGGTGTGTATTACTGCACATGCAGTGAGCTTTAATCCATCTTTTAGTATTAACCAAAACAGATATCTGGGGGAAAAAATTCTAAGGACCACACACTAAATTCATAGTCACGATTTAGTGAATTCTGATTGTTCTCAATCATAAACTAAGGATATTGAATGAATTTGTGCAATATAGTGATCAAAATGTGTTTATGCACTATGCTGATGTTCTCACAAAAACTATTTCAGAAGTAGAGAATTATAGTTCCCAATATACCTCCTGAAAATGATGGAAATTGTAAGATAGCACATCTGAAAAGCAACAATAATCAATAATATGCAAATGTTGCATGCAGATTTAGTGGTTGTTATGGCTTTTAATTGCCATATAAAGTCAAGTGAGATAGGCAGCCATATAAATCTTGTAAGTAAATAAAGTATCTTAAACGTTTTTCATATATACCGGTAGTGCAGAAAACAGATAAAGGTTCACTTTTGTATGAGTAAGGCAGACTGTGCCATGCTCACTTTCTCTGTGTGGATAAACTGAAGCTAAACAAGGATTATCCATCATTTAACACCAGTATTCTATAGAATCACTTCTGTTTCAGAGCCTCAGAAGCTCTGTATGAAAGTGCAGCTGAAAATGCAACTGATTTGCTAGGTCCTTGGCTTCTGAAAGGAAATAATGATTTATTGTTTAAGACTTGGAATAACCCACAGTTTGCATGATGAATTAACTGCACATCTGGATTTGTACAGCATGCTAACCTCAAATGTGTTTGCTTACTTTATGGCTCTGTGTATTGTGCAAATTGATAATGGTTGGCTATTAATGCTAATACATGGACTTTTTTCATAGCATGTGTGGTAGCTGCTTTAATAGCTAATTTATTTTAAATTTGTGTGTGCCTTCAAATCAGTTTTTTACTCATGGCAACTCCGTGGAATATAGTCCCTGTGCTTTTCTTCGCAAATATTTTTAGTAGTGGTTTGTCATTCCTGGGGCTAAGAGAAAGTCAAAGTTTGGGGCTAGAACTCAGTTTTCTGGTTTCTAAATTGATGTGTTCTACCTGGAAGTTGAGTTGTAGGAACTGGACTTCTTTTCTAGAAAACAGCTTCCAGACTATCTGGATGACTGAGAATCTTCATCAGCATCTTGATGTGCTCTATTTTTTCTCCCCAATTTATATTTCTTAATGGGTAAAATGCTAAAACAGATGAAATTCATGTATACAGGTAGTCCTCAACTAATGACTGGTGGCTTACTGACCATTTGAATTTAGGATGGACCCCTCTCCCAAAAGAGTACTTATGGACCCAGTCCTGATAGATGGCTCCCCCCGGTTATATTAATACATTTCAGGCACTTGGTATCCAGCTCATATATATGACCGTTTGCAGCATTCTGTGGTCACATGACTACAATTTATGATGTTTTTGCCAAAATCAAGGTTTTGGCAAAACACCCCATAGCAAGCAGTGAGTTCTCGAAGTCACTTCATGAGCATGGTGGTTTGCTAAATGACCACTGCAAAAAAGGTCATAAAATTGGTTGGTTATGAGATGACCCACTTTATGAATATCATGAATTACGATCATAATGGGTGACTTTCATTATGGTCACAAGCCTGAAATCTGTAGTTTGAAGAAATTGGTTTGGTTTAATGAGATAGTAATAAACATTGATTGGCAAGCCTCTTATATTTTGTTGCCAAGAAAACAACACAAGCCAACTTGAGGGAGTTTTTACTTTAGTAATAATTAAGCTGATCTGCATCTTCTCATAATAATATGCACTGTACTAATAACTTGAAGACTATTATTAGTAACAGAATCTTTAATCGTAAAATGCTTTCTCAAGTCCCTTTGTCTTCCATATTGTTTTAGTACCATATTTACATCAAAGGAAGTTGACTCTCCATTAAAGATAGCACAGAGGAAGAATAGACTGGAAGGGAAAAAGAAACATAGAACAAAGTCTTGGGTAATGTCCATTTCACAATGGAGCTGAATAATAATAACTAATATGCTCAAGATTGAGTCATTTCAATATTTGTGCAATTTACAAAAACCAGCTTTTTAAAATGAAATTACCATTTTCAGTGTTTTTCATGCAAAGGAGAAAGTAGTTCCCTCCATTCCTTGCTCCTCTGATATATATAATAAGTGTGTTTTTAATGTTTACTTTTTAAAAAACATTTTAACTAGTTTTAAATGGTGAATACTACATATAAACTAATTTCTTAATCTGAATGATCATTCTTTACAATGATGTACCAAGAGATAATTACAGTCTGGAAGTGTTAAGTGCTGTTTGTGAGCTTAACTATGATTAAGGTTAACCAAGATTCCAAACTGGGTTTTATGTAAAAAAAAACAATTTGTGTTTTACTTTCTAAATCTTACTTTTTTATTAGGCTATTTAAAGAGGGTGTAACTAAACCACAGAAAACTACTATAAATGCTTATTTTAATTTCAGAGAGAATGAATTTCTCTTGTACTACTGCATTATTCTGACAGAATATACTCCAAAGAAATGTTGTAATTTTTCCAAATTTACAGTAGAGCAAATCTTGTCATTCAAAATAGTCTTTGTCCAATTTCAGATTATCTTTTCCAAAAATTAGTTTAAAGTCCCAAGAATAAGTAGAAAGCTTTCTAGGGAATATTTGAACAAGTTCTGCTAGACAAATGAACATTTAGAGTTTATGTGCATTTTTTATGGAGCACACTTTGGCAATGTGTGGCAAGTCACATTTCATAGCTTGCTTAACAGCCCAGAATAAAGCTTCCTGTTACATGACTATCTATTGCGTAGCATTTCCACATGTGTTAATTTTTTGTTTGCCTATGGACTGGAGTACAAGTATGCAAAAAGTAGTTTCCATAAAGTTTTGGATGTGAGATTTTTTTTAGCCATGCTTGCTGGGGCTGATAGTCAAAGTCCAAGAATAGGTGAGTAGCACAGAGTAGATGCATTACCTCATTTGCATTACCTCATATTTCCTATATGGCCATATCATTTCAAATAGACAAAAAAGTCTAACATTAAGGTCTAATCTTACCAAACATAACCTTAAATCTATTGAGACCATTAATAGAATTTGTAGCCAACATAGCTGGATTTGATCTTAATATGCCTGAAGAGGAAGGGCTGTATTGGTGCTGGTTATGATCTCTTAGAGATTTGACTTTTTAACTCTTTTTAAGGATTCTAAGCCAATGGATCCGTGGTGGGATTCAGCCGATTTGCACCACTTTGGCAGAACCGGTAGCTAATTTTTTGTTGCCCAGGCTCAGAATGGACTTCGGAAGCGGCATCTACACAGAGCACTGGTTGTTAACATATTTGAATCCCACCACTGATATCTGATATCTATTTCTGATATCTATTTTTATGTTATGTTTTATTTCTGATATCTATTTTTCAGTGCATAATGATTTGAGTGAAAATGCTTATATTATGAGATAAATATGTATTTTAAAAATGGATAGAAAGTAGTTCCATTTTTTTCCAATCCGAAGCAAATTTTTATCTGGTAAAACAGTAAATAGGCTGCAGTAAATCAACTTTCTTCTTTCTTCTGTTAAAACATATTCC